GGCTCGGTCGGTACGTTCGTTGCGCCGAGGAGCTGGCGAAGCGAGGGGTGTTCCCAGCGTTATTTACAGCCCCAGCACGTATTGCCTTGTATCGTATCTCGGGACAGCTGACAGTCATCAGTCAGGAAGTTGGGTGTGTTGGGAAACAAGATGAGTGAACGCTGAACATCCAGGAAAATTAAAGTTATTACCCTTTGAAGCATTCACGTAGAAAACATGTACCTCTTCATTTAATCTTGGGACTTGACAGAGGCCCTGGGTGTTAACGAAAAGGGGACAGAGTCAAAACATGCCAAGCAAACGTGACTACAGAATACTCACAGATCCTCATTTGAGGAGAATTTGCGAATTGAGTTTTCATTTTTTCATCAGGATACTTAGGAGCACCTTAATCCAGATTAATTAAAAAGATTGGATATACCAATGGGTATGCCAGTCTTCAGAGCCATGATTAAACAGTGGTACAACTATGAAAAAGTATTTGGGAAGAGTCCAGAATATCTGTATTGGCTTGTCCCTACAGTAGGCTATAGCTTTGTTAAAAATAATAAAAGATTACAAACAAGATTATTTCAAAACTTTTATAAATAAAAGTACATCAAAACTAGACCAGTCCGCATGATGTCAAATGCATTTTTATTCCCATCTTAAAATATAGTTGACCTTGTGTTAAAACTTTTCAAAGGTGTTTTCTAGATCAAAGGGGAGGTTACTGAGAAAGGCCCTGTAGGATTCACTCCCTTTGATCGATATCGAAGTCGCAATAACAGGCACAACTCTTCAAGTCCTTCAAGTGGTAAGGGCGTTCCTGAAACTGAAACCACCACATTGCCAACCCTATAAAAATAAAAACTGAGGTGGAGGGACGGAGTTACTTGTGTTCTGGGACTTTTTGGTAGAGATTGTTCTTTTTCCCCTCTCCCTTTGTTGAGTTATTGAGCCAGCTGGTGCCATTTGTGAGGTTTGGTAACCTAAAATTACATAAATTATGTCTGTAGAAAAGGCTTAAATCTTTGGGGCTTGTAGAGATCGATGCCTAGAGATCTTGGTTGCGTCTGTTTTCTCACAATTCGGTGTAACTCCTTTTGTGGCACAGAAACACATTCAGACTCGAGAAAGGATGAATACCTGTGCCTTACCTACTATTACTTAGGGGGTGATACAGCTTCATAGTTAGGGGCTGGCAGGTGTGTCACCCCACCAAAAAGAATAAAATGAAACTTCTAAGGAAAAGGGAGTGGAGCCTGCAGCAGAGTGATCCAGTGAAGGAGTATGAGACTCAAGCAAATACTTAACTGTACAGAAATACCAATCCTACATTCCCCTAAGAAAAAAACCCCACACCTGCCAGTCAGATAAAAAAAATGTTTCTTAAGTTTCTGCCACTGTAGAGCTGAGGACAGGCTGACATTTAGTGCTGAGGTACAGAAAAAGCCATTCCTGTATGGACTGACATCTTCCGTGTTTTACTGACAATGGGGTGTTTTCACTACAGTTGACTGCATCCAGCTGAAAGTGCCAGTCATTCAGCAGTTGTACCACTGGGACTGCGGGCTAGCCTGCTCCAGGATGGTGCTTCAGTAAGTGACTGTTTGGGCTGGAACGGGTGGGAAATTCTATCCCATGGGAGAGGGGCAGCGGGAAGCAGTGTCCAGCGGGAAGAGGTGTGTTGAAGCAGCTGTGAGTTTAACATACTCTTAGGAGATCACATATTTTCAGGTACCCTCGGAGAATTACTGCAGGAGCAAGGGAAAATATAAACTAAGAGGAACTTAAGACTCTTTTGAGTAATTGACTGTTTTGACAGATGCAAAATACCTGGTCAGCCCTAAGAACTTTGCAGGTTGGCATGCATAAGCTAATAAAAAGTTATCCCTCTTTCCTGTTGTTATAATTCAGAACTGGTACTTAGCACAGCAATTCACCTAATTCTTTAGTGTGTTTTCAGGTGTCAGGTAGGTGTATCCCAATTTATGAGTATCTACCTCTGTCCTGCTGAGCCCCGAGTCGATGGGATGAGTGTTTTTCTTCCCGTAGTTTCAACTTCAGTACAATGCACTGTATTGCCCTTTGGGGTATTTTGGTTTTGTTTTGGTTTTTCTTTTTTTTTGAACTAGTAGCTGTCCCGCTGAACTCCTCTTTCCTTCCACAGAGGAACATGAGCTTAGGTGCAGGAGAAATACCTATTTAGATGTCCACTTAGTAGATATGAAGCAGAAGATTTTCATTTCTCTCCATCCCTTCTGCCAAGACGTTAGTCCGTGTGCTGGTAATTTCCCATCTTGACTACTGTAACCTCTGCCTCTTTATTCCCTTTACCTCTTTGCCACTCCAGTCTGCCCAAAACTCAGCTTCCAAGATTAATCTTTTCACCCTGCTGATCTGACCTTGTTTGTCGTGCATCCTCAGTTCCAGTCCTTTTTTTTTTTTTCCATTTACTTCCATTTGTTTTCTGACTTCCAGAACTCTCTGTAACTGCCTCTCCCCACCCCTTTGCAACCTGTCCCAAGCTTTCTCCTGACTTCATCTGCCCTTTATTGCCTTTTGTGCCATCAGTGCCCAAGACAAGCTTCCTTTGAATATTTACTGACTTCCTTTACAGTTCCTCCTTTTGAAATCCACCTATTGCGTGAAGCAAGTTTTAGTCTTTAACCCTTCTTTGTGTTTGCTCCAATACGCTTGTACAGTCAGACTGTAAGCCCTTCAGGACAGAGTTGCTCAGTGTAGCTTGCCTATTGTACAGCACCTGTACACTTCTAGCACTGTAAGACAGTCAAGATTCCCGAACATTTCCAATTAAGAAAAATCAGCAATAAATCCAGCTACATATTCCCTACTCCCTTCCCTGAAATTTGTGGCTCCTTTGTGGGTTGATCTTTTTGTTGTTGTTGTTATTTCTTGGCCAAGCCCATTGTTTCAGTTTTTACGTCCTGCGATGTGGAGGCTTGGGCTACAGCACACATTTTGCTCCTCCTAAGACCGGTGCTTCCCTTCCCCTGCCCTTCCTAATGCAACAGGTACCTGAATCGTCTGGACAATGATGAATTTCAGAAAGCCATCCAGGAACTCCAGTTAACAAAGAGCATCTGGACTATTGACCTGGCCTACCTAATGCGGCACTTCGGTGTTAAGCATAAATTTTGCACCCAGACGCTTGGAGTGGACAAGGGCTACAAAAATCAGGTTAGTATTCTTATCTATTGGGAGACAGCAGACAGTTTTTAAAGCCTGGTGTGTCATGCTATGAAAGCTCTGCTGTGTTACAACTAACCACAGTTCCTGTAAACCAGGTTTGCCTGTTGCCAAAACTGGCATGAATCGGTTCCAAAGGCGAGGCTAGATACGATCCCACGTATTTTACATCTTTGATTCCATAATACAAATTTTTTTAAGTTTTCATGTAGTGCTCATGAAAGGTTCCAGCCTATTTGACAGCTTTGGAGACTGAAGCCCTCTATTTATCTACAGAACAGGTACAGCCTGGGCAGCAGCAGTGCTAGCTTCCACAGTTTCCCCACCACCGTGCCTCAGCCTTGACCTGGAAGAACCACCTCTAGAGGTGAGAGGGGAACTCAGCCTCCATGTCCATTGAGAGCTTGGCCTCTTCAGGATTGCCAACAAGGGGGCCAGTGAGGGCCTGTAGTGGCAATGGCTTTTCTTGTGCAAGCTCCTGCCCAGTACGAACCAGACAGGCTTCTGTCATGGAGGCAGCGGAATAGCCACTGGATGGAAATTACAGTAACTGACCACGAGTGAATGTAAACGTAATATTTAGAGCAAGAATCCTTATCCTGTTACCAGTGAACTAAGGGAGAGATCTCTTATCCCATAGCCAGATCTCCAACTTACGCAGGCCCTTGCTAGCAGGGACTGTAAGTGGTGGATTACCTAAGGTAAACATCATTCCAGTTCGTAACTTCTGTTATCTCCACAGTCATTTTACAGGAAGCACTTTGACACAGAAGAGAATCGAGTGAATCAACTTTTTGCGCAAGCCAAAGCCTGCAAGGTGCTGGTGGAGAAGTGGTAAGCTTGTTTTCTTTCTTTTCTCTTTGGAGATTCTGTGAGCCCCAGGCTTTTCTTGGAGTCACCAAGCTAAACTGGTGAAAGAGACTGAAATCTGAAAGCGGACATTGAGAGTTAATAATGAATTCTGAGGAAAAATACTGATGACACAGAGTGATTTGAGAACACTGACAGGAGTTGACCATTGTCTATGTTTTGAATTCGATTATCCATTAAAATTACCCAGTAGGGGGTGCCTACAGCACTCTAATTGGCCATTGTTGGAATTAAGGAGAGTGCTACATGGACACACAACCCATTGTTCCCAGGGCTATGCAAACATTAGAGCTCTGTTCCTAGACAGATGCTAGCATACGACCTTTTGCCAAGGAGAGGATGAAAGAAGGAACCTCTATGAAAGAACAGGAGAAGGGGAAAAAATGCAGAACTGTTTCACAACTGACAGTGATATTCTACATGTTCAACTTGAGCTACGTCCCTTTTTATAGTGAAGCTGGATTTGGATCTCTGTTGTCAAAGTGGGGTAAATGATTAGAGTGAGAAAAGAAGAGAGGGTCCGGGGCAGCCACAACAGCATTTGAATGCTGCAATGCAGCTTTCATTTAGCAGAATCGTGTCCTTTTTAATGTACACGGAGTCTGTATGGCACCACCTGTTCAACTGGAGCTGTAACAGGACAGAAGGGACAGTCAGGCCATCTTGCTTTAGCAACCTTAAGACTATGGCCTTGATCAAGGCAGGGACAGAGGACATCTCTGCCTGTGCAGTACTGAGGTTGGGGAATCAAAGAGAAGCAACCCTGGAAAAGATTAAAAAGGTCATGAGTTTACTCAGGTAGTGCACACAGCCCCAACATCTGGAACATATCCAAGGGACGAGTTTCTAATGCGTATGGAATACACCATCTGCCTCAGTGAAGGACAGCATTTAACAGATGAGACTATAGGTTGTTTGGTTAACATTCTCTGTAGGAGGTACTGCAGCAATAAAGCCTCAGGGAGAATCAAAATGGCAACCGGGAGAAACATACTCCTGTGTGACAGAGGCAAATTTGGGCACGGCTTAATTTGGTTTGTGATTATAGACTCTTTAACCACTCGGTCGATAAAGATTTGGTGCTTCAGAGATAAGCTTTTCTAAGAGCAGGAGGGAACACTTCACTTAACAACTTTCCCACAACAGAAGTCTCTCGAGTTACTGAACGAGTTGCCAGCTCCTTTAATACTCTTCTCTGGGGCATCTGACACACTGAGATTACATTTACATTGCTGCAGAATGTGGAGCTCTTGCTCTGCACTTCACTAGCAGCAATGAGATCAAAAGGCCTTGAATGACACAGGTTTTGCCAAGCTTTGTCTGTAGCAAAGCTTGCAGGGTTTAACAGCAAAAAGCTGTACCTGTGATATAAAAATAACCATGTCAGCTGCGTGTCATAAGTACTGTCCATCATCACACGCTTCACTGCATACCAGTCTCTTTCCGAAACTTGTTAATAAGCATGTCTGGGGTTTTTTTCTGCAGCACAGTAACTGTTCAGGACATCCAAAACCACCTGTCCCAAGGTCACGTAGCCATCGTCCTAGTGAATGCAGTCCTGCTATTGTGTGATCTTTGCTCAAGTCCTGTCAAATACTGCTGCTTCCTCCCCATTGGACAGAAGTGCTTCTGCAGGAATCCTGACTACCAGGGCCATTTCATTGTGTTATGTGGCTACAACAAAGCCTCAGGGAGTATTTACTACAACAACCCTGCCTATGCTGACCGTGAGTAGCTTGTTCCTTTAGGGTGGATTCTCAGCCACTGTGTACTAACATGTCTGTATGTAACACAGAGCCACAGCTGGATTTCCCTGATAGCGTGCATGTATTTCAAGCATCACTAACCAATTTGTCAGAAGGGGTTTTGCCACATTAATTAAATTAGTGCTGCATTTTGTGCTGTGATGGGCTCGAGGCATTGAGATACGCATTCTGGCAGACTTGTTCGGCTTTCGGATGGGTTGGTGACAGATGCTGAACTCTTCCTAGGTGCAGAATATAACAGGATGGGCAGTTTAGTACCTAGTCACAGCATTACTTCAGTGAGCACTGCTTTTGAGGGGAAAAGATCTACCTTAGTAAAGCTGTAACCTAAGCTGATAGGTCTGGTCTGTATACTAGTTACTTGTCTTTGTAGAGGCTGCTAGACCCAGTATAAGAGCCTTTCACAGGCAAATTCCTCTGAATTTCCAGTAACATTTTGTTCCTCCTTAACAGGAACGTGCTGCACCAGCATCAGTAACTTTGAGGAAGCCAGGACGAGTTACGGCACTGATGAAGATATTCTGTTCATCTACACAGACAGCTGACATCCACACCTGATGCTTCTGGTCCTTTCCTGTGCAGCCCGCGTGGCAGCTGGCTGCTTGTCTCAGGACTCCCCCTGCAGAGACCTTGCTCCTGAATTGCAGTGGGATCTTAAACAAGGGAGGCTTTATAGACATTGATAGGACTATATTGCAATGCTGTCTTTTCTTTTTTTCTTCCTGATGATGTATCTGATTTTGCAATGTATGTCTGAGGTTTTTTGTTGGTTTTTTTTTTCCCCCCTCTTTTTCAACATTGCACATTTGACAGCAGTTTTAAAATACAGGCCCAGAGCCTGTTCACTTTGAGCTTATTTTCAAATTAAACACATGAGAAAAAAGCACCAAATTTATGAACTTTAACACTTGGTAATAGATGCATAGGTTTAGGTAAGCAAAACCAGGGAAAAAAAAAATAGACAATACCTGTTTCTCTCTTTTTCAAAGCATCAGGGGCTGATCTTCATCCTAAATCTAGGGATTTGAGGTTCTTTTTTTTTAGCAGGGTATTACGGAAGGAAAAAACCATAAACTTAAAACATTATTTTAAAATAAAAAATGCCTTGCTGGCTCATCAGTATTGTCTGCATTGTAGGAATGAAACACATTTACTCAAGGAAACTTCCCATGTACCAAATTCACCTTACACAGATTTAGCATTTAGGCCACTGCATTAAGTTTTGAATTGTAGTTACTGATATTGTTCCCTTGTACTACAAACTCAGTCTCTTTTGGATAAATCCTCTAGAATGACTGCTCAGAGCTCTGTATTGCCCCAAAAGTTTAAGTGAAGATATTTAATTTGTACCTAGAAATCTTTACTGTTCTTTGCAAAAATCTCTGAACATTATGCCACCCACATGTGCCAGTTTCTACAGAATGCATTCTAAATATAAACTTTACACTTACTAAGCAAATACAGAAAATGATCATCCACACTAATGGTATACATTTTGTGTGTAAATTGTAAATATCTGACAGCATATACTGGATTGTAACTAAACTGCTGAATCATAATTTAAGCCAAATTTTGCCATTGATATTAACCTTCTAAGAAGAGCTGAAATCAACTAAGAAAAGAGGGAATACAAATGTTTCTTTGCTATAAGTAAGAAGCAGAACTCAGATTTTGTAGCTCTTGCACTACAGCTGTATTTGGATTAAGCTGAAGTTACTGTATTCAGACATTATCAAGTGCAAATGTTAGCAGCCCACTCATCATCCTTTTATCTATTACCTGTGTTTAATTACTTTGCTGAGGAGCACTGTAAAGTGTAAGAAATAGCCACCTGTTTCAGATTCATCCATCACAATTTCCTACAAGTCTTGATCTCCAGCCCTACCTATGTTGAAGTGGGTAGAAAAAAAAAATCAATACTGATGTAAAGCTAGCAGAATTTTATTTTGCACTTAAGACAGAGATCCTGCACTTTTGGCATGGTTTTAGGAAAAGGAACCATTCACATTCTGGAACTGCATGGAGAACAGTAAAAGGACATCATTATTTAGTGGTGGAAATAATAAATAGGAATCTACTTTCAGCATGGTAAAGATTTTTTCTAAGAGAAAACATTTCCTTTTATCAGTTGTTGACTTACTGAAAAGTATCTGGAAAATATTCAATAAGTATGCTTAGTAGAATCAAGAGTGCTCCTTTGTACAAAGGTTAAAATAGCAACAGACATTTAATCTGCACTAGCCTTTTAAAAAGTTCCAAACAAAAAGTATGTGACAAGAAATTTTCAGTGTATTCAAATTTTGCTTATCATTGGTGAAATTGGAATACATTCTGGCACTTAGACTTGCAAAATGACTAAAGATTAGGATGTGATTTGGGAGCGGTAGAACCAGTACATTGGTGCCACCAGCAGAATCCCAGAAAAAAGGTACAAAACTTACTATAGATAATGCCTTCCAACTCCTCCAAAGTCAGTCACCAGCAGGGAATTTTTATGTCCAAGTCCAAATTCATGATGTTTGATTTAGAGAGATTGTATTAGCTGTGTTACTAATTAACAGGTACATAAACTACAGGTTGATAGAGTACTTCCTTATCCCATGCATTTTCAGGGAGGTAGTTCATTCAATACCATTTACAGGATTTATTTTAGAGCAGGCTTGGTTAGCTAAATAAAAACAATTATTAGAAAAGGCTTGTAATTGACATTTAGCCTCTTACTGGTTCAGTTGCACAAATGTGAATCTTGAGCTTATACATAAAACATGAACTTAAGGGCATGCTAAGTGTCCTGAAGTGCAGAGATAGGTGTAAAACTGACTGTTAAGTGTTGGGTACCCAGGGTTTAAATACTTCCAACAAAACTGAAAGATAAACAAAGCTCTTTAAGCTAATACAGACAAAAGGAGAGTTCCACCATTGCAATCTCTTACAGCCACCAAATGGAAGATAGCTATGAGAGATTAAAACACAAGGAAGAAGGAGAAGCCAAGTGAAAAGACTGAATATTTATATGACACAAATTCAGATTTAAAAGGTCACTGAACAAGCATTCATAACATCTGCATTTTCGGAAAGTTTGTTTCCCGCTACAAGACTGGCTATCGAAACACTCATTCTGAAAACATTTTGTCACTTTGTTTCCTTCATGATGTCAATAGCAAAGGAAGGGGTATTTTACATGCAGGGATTTTATACATAAATATATTTTTATTTGTAATTAAGCCATTCTCAATAAAGGTTTAAAGCCACACACCCTGTAACATAATGTAGCAAGTGCATTTATTAACTAGCTTATGAAAAATGTTGGAAAATTTTTAGAGGATGTGTTATATACTTAACTGGAAATGGCACAGCTGAAGTTGTAATTTGGAGGAAAAAAAAAAGTTCAAATATTTATTTCAGCTATAAATTCTTAGTTGCCAGGCTGTAAATTGTATTTATTCTGCACTTCCTGAACACCTACTGGATCACCTGAATTGTACAAAACAAAATTTCAATACAGATGCGTAGCTGAGAAGAGCAAAAGTATTGTTACTATCTGTATTCAACAGCTATTCTGTGTACTCTGCAACCACTGAGCACCTACTGGAGGGCAGCTCCAGGGAAGTAGTTTTTATTACCCATCCTGATCCCTAATAGCATCTCCGTGGCTTTCTGTGCACAATGAGAAGTGTGCAACTGCACTAGCCTTGCCTCTGCTTTAGCCAGGGTTTCTATTTTTGCCTCACAACACAGCACTCAGCTTCTGAAGATACTAAAAGCATCTGTCTGCAGCACTATTGCACCTTGAAGGAGTCCCCTCAAAGACATCAGTGGTTGTAATACGTAGCATAAAGGGAAACAGAAAGAACCCAAATGGTCTTGCTTTACAGTACCCACAGATCTTCAAACACTAGGACATGTCTGGGACATTACTTAGCTCTAACAGACCTGCATCAAATAGCTCGTGAATTTTTTTTTAAAAAAAACAGCAGATTAAACCAATTTATGCCTCTTTTCTCCCCAAATTATGCATTTCAGTAGAGGATAAAAACTGGAAAGCAGAAGTAAACAGACCCACAATGCAAAGCTTATGTAAAAGTTTTCATGTCCTCTGAATTCATCATCTCCATCAAACTATATCACAGTATACAGTGCCGAATGAATTTCATCATTTTATATCAATTTATTCCTACTGCATATATTTCTAGTAAGGAACAGAAGTTTGGACTCATTGGTGCAAGTGACAAAGAACAGACCCAAGCAGACATTTTTCAATTATTTTACTCAACATAGTTTTGAATCTATTATTTAAAAGTTGGTTACAGGAAACTAACAACCCTAAATTAACTTGTGGTCCACAGTAAAACTATCACCCAGCAGTACCTTTTAATTTGTTATGTAACATTTGACTGTAATGAGACGCTGTCTCTTACTCTTTGATGATGTTTGGCATAAAGTAAGGTTGGACTGCTTCAGTGAGCTTGTCTGCATACATTTCATATCTACCAGTCATCTGGAAAAGAAAAACCAAGCTTCAGTTCTTTTAGTGAGCTATGAAAGTACTTCAGTAGAAAATACTTAGACCCACCTTGGTTTTTATAACGACATATTATTTAATTGCCTCAAATAGTAAAATCATAATTCACTCAAAATACAAGACCTCCAGTGCCTTAGCACAAACTTACATATTTTATAAAGGAACTCGCATTGTGTAGCCTAAAACTATACTTCTACCCAAAAAATAGTAGAAGTGCATTTCCACTCTAAAAAGTAACACTTTAAAATGAACACCTTCCTACTTTGCAGCTCTCCTTCACCGACAGTCAAGTCTGCTGACTAATTACTTAAGGCTATTTTGGTTATCTTGGACAGCTGAAAGTTCAACACAAAAGGTGGAGTGACCTTTCTTCTGCATCAACAATATTCTCTTATAAGTTATGTCAATGAAGGCAAAGGAGTGTATCTGTCATTATGTCTTCTTATTATGTCCTGGACAATTGATGAACCTTTCTGCCAGCAGTAAGTGCCACCGACAGTACCTGGGTTGCTCTTACTTTATCCATTAATAATACAAAATATTATCATTTTGGGTGATACAGTAAGCTAGGAGGCCAAAATACAGCACTTTACATAGTGTTATCATCCTCCTCTGAAGTGCACAGTCTACAATGTTGGCTCTGAGAGGGGCGAATTACTTCCTTCTTGCCAGAGTGTAATAAGAACAGTTTAACTATTTTGCTGCTCTAAGTTTAGCAAAGACTTTCTACTGAATGTTCCTTTCAGGCATCACTGAATGCAAATTGCAGGTACCAGAGGAGGTTAAAAAGGTCCTACTTGCTATCAAGGGTTTTCTGTGGTGGGTAACTCATGACTTCACACTTCCTCACTCCCCTCATATCAAGAACTACGTCTGCCTTGACCACAAATGAGAGGAAAAGGAAATCGGTATCCCCTGTCACAGAAAAAGCCATAGCTGTGCCTTGCGTGCCAAAAGACCAACAACAGCGATCTACACCATCAACATAAAACTAAGGTGCTGAAAGCATAAGATTTGAAGACAAAAAAAATAAGCAATTCTATACAAAACAGCTAAAGGTCAGTGTTTTGCTTTTACTGTTTGTTTTTCCTAATCAATACAACTGCTTTTGTTCAGACGCTCCTACTAAGCTGTTGTAAACAACGCTCTATGGGCTTCCCGACACACTAAATCTCTACTCTGTAATAAGGGCCTCAGATTTCAGTGGTGAAGAAAAATTAAATGCCCATATGAAAAAACTAGGAATCTCTCAGCACAATTTAATTCCAACCACATACCTACCACACATAGCTGTAAAATTACTAATGTAATTCTGTCCAGAAGACGACCTGAAATTACTTTTTGTCTTTAGTCCCTACATATGGATTGGCAGCTTTAGCAAAGAAATTAAGCTCAAGATAAGAAATGATTATGTTTTAATTAAAAAGATTATCCAGCATTTCAAATCCATAGAAAATTTGTATTTTTACATCAAATTGTAATCAAAACACATTATATATTGCACTAGATTGTAATGCACAAGGTGGTTCCAAATAAACCAGCTCTATAAAATAAATGTCTACTTGCTGTAACATTACGTACAAAAATTGACTCTCCTTGCACATGATTACTTATTTTAAATACTAGATTATCACTGAAGAACCTACATACATTGTGACAGTTGCTAGACAGGAGTTCTGGTCTACTTTGCAAGGATTCAAATCACGCTGATCTTAAGAGTGGATAGGAAAAATGTCTAGTCTTTAGCAGTATTGAGGACTAGAACGGAAGACCTGTCTCCACAGAAGTAAGCAAGATGTTTTCTTCACCAGCAAAGCCTATTTAACAAGTCGCCACCTCTTTTCTCCTTTTGCTTGCTTTGTTGTTCCAACAGAATATTTGTGGGGCCCGCCGTAAACTTGATCAGATTACAAGCAGAAACCAGAGTGTTTTTTGTTTGCTTGCTTGGTTCTGGTCACACCACTAAACCTGTGTAAATATAGCACCCCACATAGCTTGTACTGGCACAACTGAAAGATAAGGGAACTGCAGTGCTGAGGTGGCAATTTCTTAAACCAGTACTGCTGCTGGTTTAATTAAATCAAATTACACCCTCAGGAAAAGTGATCCAAATTAACTTCATCTCAGAACACGAAAAATTAGTAATGAATAAGTTTGTTAAAGCCACGTGGAAAGGCTTGCAGCTGTCTTAATCTCATTTAGGTAAATTCAAAAGTGTGTTAGAATGCTCCAGAGATGAGTGTACACAGTTCTTTTTCCCTGGCTTCAGTGTGTCCAGGGAGGTAACACTGCAAGAAGTTTGCATTCAGAAAGTTCTCAGAAGCTTAAAGATTCTTGTGGGTTTGGGTTTTCACTAAATTTCATGAAAACTGACAACAAAGGCCTATAAGAACATGAAGAACTAGCAGAATTACCAGATCAAAGTCACATCTCAGCTCAGTGACAAATGCCTACATACCTTGCATAAGGAAACCACACACACTTCCCCTAGCAGTCCTCGGAGCTCCTGGCGATCTGCACTTAAGGACCAAAGGCTAAGTTTTTCATTTAAAAGCTATTGACCTACTTTCCCTGAATTTGGCTACTCCTTTTTTGGAATCCATTTATGCCCCTGACCTCCAGAACACCCTGTTAAATTAGTTCAACGATACTCCCTCTGGACTGTTAAAAAAGAAGGCTGCCTTTTAACTATTATAAGATTATAAGACCATTATGAAAGCTTGTTTGTTCTAACATCATACGTAAGTTTGTTTCTTTATAAGCAGGCTTACCTTAAAATTCCACTTGTCACTGACTTGTCTGCAAAGGTTTAGATCCATCTCTACCACCAGAAGTCCATCCTGAGTGCGAGAGAGTCCTGGGGTCCTGCTGCCATCTGGTGCAGCTACGTAACTTGAGCCATAAAAATGGCCCAAGTCATGGTGAGCTTAAAGAAATTTTTAAAAAGCCTGTAATGCCATCTGCAAAGAAGTATCAACTTAACATGCAGTGTCCCCTAAAACCTGGCTCAGTTTCTTGTGGCTGCTCACTCACTGTGCTTTAAGCAAGATATCATCCTGAAGAGTCACAGCATGATCTTAAGGTAACTGCAGTTTTGACCAATAGTTACTTTCATGCACAGGACAGCTTTCACATATATCGAATTAACAGGAAAAAACTCACTGCACTGCCTTTTAAATAATGCATGATTATGCTTTCCCATTGTTAAATATCTGAACTAAAGGCTTTGCTTTTATTGTTTTTTCTTTAAATTTAAAGAAATTCTTATTGTCAAATCATACATCTCCAAAACAGCTGACAGAGACGCACCCATTCAATTTTCAACACAAGGTCAGAGGTGAAAAGACTGGGATTTGAGGCACGGAAAAAATCTTATTTCGTATTGCACAACTCTGAGTTGTGCCAAAAATCAGCCACATCTGTTGTACTACTAAGCAATGGACACCGCTGACCTTTTTCATGCAGCTGCTACAAACACTTCACTCCAAAACTAGCTAAAAATGGCTCAGGCCCTCTCCAGATGAAGCCAGAATCAGGCATGGTGAAATTACAGTGTTTCAACATACAAGTGAAGTACACATAAGCAAACCTCATGCTCTTCTTTGACCATTCTCTTCTTTTAACTTCCAGCAAATCAGTGAAACAGGGCAAAAAAGCTTGGCTGGGGATTCAGGCTAGGGCTATTAACGTTCATAATCTTAAAACTACGAATAAAATGTCATGAATGCACTGACAACACAGGCTAATTTGTGGGATTTCTGCATTAACTCTGAAACTCTTAGTCTTCTGAGAGTATATAGAAACCTAAGGTATGACCTTCTGGTGACCACATACCATGACACCACCAACTTTAACAGGAAGCGCTGCTTCTCTCCAGCTTACAAAACAGCAGCCTTAAGTAAGGCAGTCGCACGACAGCCGCTTGCAGGAGAGCTATCATTTCGTCAGACTTTCTAGTTAACAGTTATTAGCAACCACTGAACGTCCTTTCTGAACTCACCTTTTCCACCATCTCCAGAAGTAAAGGCATTTTTGTAGTATTCCTGTGAAATAAAAGGAATCCGTAGGTGGCAGTATAATTCCATTTCATTCAAGAAGTCCTTGCTAGTCTACCATATTTAGTAAGGAAGTTTATATAAATCTATTAAGACTTTTTCTGGCATACCATCAGCACTGTCTAAAGGGAGTCATCAGAGGGGCCTAGTTCCTATGATGGATAGGCTAGAAAACAAGGATCTTTTTGTATCACTGCCTGTTGTTAATACACTTTGAGGAACATGCCTCCTATCAGTTTCACGAGTTTACGGAAGAGACAAAAGAGGAGACATTTAACCAAATGTATCTTTGCAGATGACAAAAGGCAAATGTATTCACATAACGACAAGAACAAGTCTGGGTTTTTGCAGGGAACCTTATAAAAGAACACATATGTAGGGTATTTGGACCAATCTGAAGGCAAGAACAACCTCTTCAGTGCAACATTAGTTTTCATCATAGAATTTCAGTGTCCAGAAAGAGGTAGTATCTGTGCAACGACAACCAGTGTGTACCGCTGACTTGATGATATATTTCATTTTCAGTCATTTTGGCTAAAAGAATACTGATTTCACCATAGAAACTAGGAGAATTAGCAAAAGGGTGGCTGCCTATTACAAAGAGAGCAATTCAAGAACAGGAAGCAGCTGCAACCGAAAAGTAGGCTGACAGCAACAAGGCAGCTCTCAATCTTTATCACTGTCCATCTTCAAATCATATTATAAACACTAATACAGTAGTTATACAGTACAGGAATCTATGCATTCTAGTTCTATCCAGGTCATTACCTTGCATTAACTCATGCTACAATACCTGAATTATGAAATGAAATAAGGAAGTGAAGATACATACCGTTCCTACCCTGTTGATGGGACATGTAAAGCAGTGATTAGCTATGGCAGCATTTCTTGCTTCAATTGGCCACAACGACTCACTGCAATACACAAAAGAGGAGGCAGGTATTCACTGCTTGTCTACTTCAGAGCTAAATTCAGATTACGGCTGTGTCACACCGTACATTTTCTGTCAAAGAAGCCAAAGTTAGCTGCTAAGACTGGTCTTGCTCTTACAATCAAAATCTCCCCACAGATACAGCCAAGTACTATAATTATTTTCTGCTGAAATATAGAAATAAACGATTCTGATAACCTGGTAAATATGGATTTGTTGTGGCAAAAAAAGGAAAAAAATTAACACATCCCAAGATTTTCAAAACAACTAAAGTGTAAAATTCTTTACTCTCCAAATCATGCAAAGGATTTACACAAGTGCTTTCACATTCCGTTAACTTTCAATACACCAAACATTATTCTGCAGCAAAGCTGTAAGAGATTCCTACAAGTTGTCTCCTTTTTTCCCTAAAATGGTCCAGAAGAGTCTTTTGCAGCACTGAATGAAAAAAAATTTATTATGGGAATAATAAAAACCTGAAAGTAAAAGAAAAATCCATTTCCTCCAAAATTCCCGACTTCTGTTATTTCAACCACAGTTTTCACAGCACTTACCAGTAAGTCATTTTCCCATTGTGGGTTGATGAAAAAGAAAGGATGTTTAACAAAAGCATCCTGATAACTTCCCAGTAATTATCTATCAAACCAGTCATTAAATTTACATAAAACCAAGAACTGAGAACTGAGGAATAAAAAATTCCTTCTCTTTTACAAGCCCCTATGTCTTTTCCAAAGGAGAGTTCAATTCTGACTGATGTTGAAAAGTGAAATAGCCTTCTTTTTATTAAATAGTTTGATACACAGGGATCAGACTAGTTAATAGCTCCAAAACAAAGGTGATACAATTTGTACACTCCTGTGACAGCATGTACCTGACAGATTCTGAGTAGCAAGACAAGGCTGCAAACATCTGACTCATTAATCTCCCAGTCAGACTCAAGAATCTTAAGCGATGGTCATTGGATTGATTGAAAGGTCTTCATTTATTGTCTCTTTTCTCAATTGCTTTGAGTTTGGCAGTCAGCTCTTCTAAGAAAAAGGGATTTTATTGAAAAGCTCCAGCAAATTACAATTTCACAGAAGAAGAGAGACAGGAAAAAAAGGCTACAGTCAAGAAGTGACCCCAGAGACAGTTTTTACAGGGGCCTCCAGAGTCCTCTTCCTGCAATAAAAATTATATGCTTAAATATAATCATGTGAAAGCCAATAATTAGGAGAGCATGAAGCACCCAGGATACCAATGAAGTGCTGTATGACAACAGGGTAACTTCTGTGTCCTCTCCTGTTCAGGGGCTGTAAGTGGACAAACTTCACAAATATTATTCTAGTAGTGACACAAATGCCCCAAAAGCATTGTGAATTATTCAACTCTTTTCAAAGGGCATTTTCCAATGTTACTCAACCTAAATTATCTTTTATACCCCACACCTCAACTTACAAATAGGATAATTTGGAATTTGAAAGTACTGAGTAGTACTGCAAAGAACAGAACACAAGGAGAACGAAAGGAAGGCATGGTGATTTTGTCAAGAGTAGTGACCACTGAAACTATTTCTACAACGTTTCTATTTAAAGAAAGCCCACTCATTGGCCCCAAAGAAACGCAGTTATTTTGCATCACATTATAGTATCCCAAGCAATACACAGCCTGTGCCAGACAATGCTTTGGAAGTATGGCACATTCAGAGCTTATTTTATTAAAATGTGACTGATGCTGATAATGTAGGGCCAAAGAATATTCAAGATCTAATCCACAAATTAATCATTACGGGCTAGCTAAGAAGTGTATTTTCTTAGCTCACTGAGCTGGTTTTCTTTTTCCTTTTAGGAAATCAAGTCAGCAGGGTGCAATTAACGTCAATCTGCAGAAGATTAATCTCAAGGGAAACAGTTTACACTGGTTCAGTCTGGTTCATGAGGCCTGATAATCACAGAATTGCCAACAGCTAAAAAAAAAAAAAGTTTCTGAGAAAAGGGTTTCTCAGCTTGGCTCTGAAAACTGCAATTTGCTACCATACTTACTGGCTCCTAGGTGGATGATGCAAGCTGGCAAGCTATGCCTGAATGCAAACTACTACTGCCCACGATAAAGCAAAGATATTACACAGATAATCTAAACAAACTCTCATTAGTTTTCGGAACAGCAGCTGGACGCTGGTTAAGTCTGTCTCAGAGACAAAAGTTCTGCTGATGTACCACTGAAGTTCTGGAAGAGTTAGTGACTATGAGCAGACTGGTAGGCCAAAATGCCAGATGGGAAAAGAATGCAGATTTCTTCATGAAGGCAAAACAAGGAGGTGATACCTCAGGTTCCAAGACCTCAGCAAGGTGCCCCTGAGGCCCCAGTGAGGGGCTCAGAGGTTCAGTTAACCCAGAAAGCGTGCAATGGCCTAAATCAGTTTGTATTTTACCTGAGTGTTCCAATAGTGGCTGAAGGGTTAAAGATGATCTCTGCTCCATTCATACTAAACATGAGCCAGTTCAGAGGGTGATGGCGTCCATAGCAGATATTCACAGCAATTGTTCCAAACTGTGTCTGAAACACTGGGTGTCCGGTATTTCCTTCCATATAGTAAGTAGACTACAAACAAACAAATAAAACAAACACAAAACCACAAAGGCAGATTTCTTAAAAAAGTGACAAGAAATACCTTGAACATTGCTTTGACATTTCCCAATTTCTGATTACCAGCTTCAAGCTATTAGACCATGAGCAAGGACAACATCTTTCATTTAGTACTTAGCTGCACTGTAAAGGGTATATAGCAAAAAGCGGCTCTCAGGCTGCTGAGATCAAATTCAAGTCCCTTTCTGTTTCACTTCACTCATACTACACCTAAGCACTGTCTGACTTTGCGTAAACACTTTACTAATGCTAGAAACTTGTACAGAAACTTGAGATCCGCAAATTCCCAAACTTTAGGCACCTCCGATCCTTTGATTCTGACTAAAGAGATGATGAACACCATTTAAAGAACATGGAATTCCTTTACATTCACCTGCTATGTAACAACATGCAGTAATTTTATGAATGCTACATATAAGGAAATATTAGTGGATTGGTTATTTAAATTTCCTATATCACAGAATCACAGACTGTTAGGGGTTGG